AACGAATTCTCACATGACCATAATTTCAAGAGCCCCTTTCTCATTCGAAGCCCATCGTCACTGTCAATTGATTCACTCACTATCATTTGATATACGACAGTGGAGTATTAAAGAAACTCAGCAAAATGGTCCCGAACAGACAAGTCGACCCGATGTCGGATCAATGTAAGGCAAATTAAAGGTCAATATCGACCCGATATCGTGTTGTTGTCGGAGCAATTTTGAGTTTATGTCGGGTCAATGTCGAGTCAAGATCGGGTTGGGGTTTGGTAGAAGTTAGGTTGGTGTCGAGTTGGTTTAGCTTTTTCTCCGGGATGTCGACCAGAGCTCCATTTATGTGTAGGTTACACTCAATTGAATGATATATTAAGCGTTTCTCAAATGAGAATGATCCATGCCTTCGTCAAATGACTAAGCAACTGATATCACCCATTCGAAGGAGGTCCCTTTTGATAGCGGATAGCTGCTTTTCTCATTTTCATCAAAAATGTTCAAGTGATTTTGAGAATTTACAGCACTGGACTTGGAGAATTTTCGCATCAGAAGAGAAACTTCAAAAGCCCTGCTTGTCGCGGACACGTACCAAGGTAGAATTGATTGCACCGCAATATTGGAGCAAGTAAACATTAATGGCCAACCCCCAATGCTTCGTAACAATGTTATGCTGAGAATGCCACTACATTGGACAAACTATGCAATCAACGGTGCAATAGGCGGACTGCATCGAGTTTTTAAGCGAGTTTCATCAGTATTCGATTTTAACCTTCGGAGACGTTTCTCTTCCTTCTTCTCTAGAAATGTAAATCGTCAATGATTATGTTTTAAAGTTTTGTAGTTTTAGTGATGATATGATTTACTTTAATTTTAATTTTAGGGTCAACCATCACTGGGACCACATCGAGTTTGTTGATGTTAACAAATAAATAAATAAACTATCCGTAGCCCTGCTTGGACTTATTTCGCGTCTAGGGACATTGTCTCAGTCGTGGTTCAACTAGTAGTCGATCGAATGATCTGAACTCCAGGACGGTTTAGAGAACCTAGAACATCATATATATGGACAACAACTATGGATTTATTTGGACATGTTGTGTTTGTTATGAACATGCTGCAAGACCTGGTTGATCTTGTTGGTAATATTATCTGAACTCTTGAATATTTTAGGTCAAGAGAATGGATTTTGAATGATGAATCTCGATTTTGTGAACATGTTTGTACATATTCTAGAAGGTTTTGACGTAGAACTACGTCTGTGATTTCTATATGGGGGTACATTTTGCGAAAACCGAAAATGGAATCGGTAACAAAATTATGAAAGATTTCAAACATTAATTACTCAGCTGCCCGTGGATCAATTTCAATAATTTTATCACCAATCGATCAGAAATATTTCTATGCATCAATATAAATGCTTCCGACTGATGATTTTCAACAAGAAACTATTGAAAAAGTGTTTATGACAAGCATTGTCCAATGCACAAATAAGTGATAATTTTATAATGAAAAAAAACGTGCTTCCCAAACCCAGTCGTCATAATCGAGTACCACTTGGTTGGGGCCTGTTCATAAACTACGTAGACAGTTTTTTGGGATTCTTGACTCCCCCCCTCCCCCTGCGTAGACAATCACCCATACAAAAATTTTAAAATTTGTATGGACCATGGATAATTGTCAACCCCCCCCCCCCCCCTAAACTGTCTACGTAGTTTATGGACAGCCCCTTGGTTGCACATCATTCTGCTTTAACCTGAAAAGATATAAAAGAGCGCTGCTGTCTAGCCTGAACTCTTTTTCGCTTCGGACGGCGTGGTTAGCAGGCAGCAGAAGCATCAATAGTAGCAGTAGGAAGGTTGTGGCAGGTTAGGTAGTCCACTCTTTTACCCAACAAGCAACAATGACTAGTCATGGCAAAGGAGAAAAAGGTCTTGGTAAAGGAGGCGCCAAGGCGTCATCGCAAGGTTCTTCGTGATAACCGCCATCCGTCGTCTGGCTCGCCGTGGTTGTGTCAAACGTATCACCGGTCTGATCTACCAGGTGTTCCCGGAAAATGAGATCCATGATGCTGTCACCTACACTGAACACACCAAGTCTAAGCGGTCATGGATGTCATCTACGCTTTGAAGCGACAGAGACTGTGCGGTTTCGGAGGTTAAATCATCACCAACTTTGGCAACAAAACGACCCTTTTCAGGGCCAACAAGCTTATTACAGTAAAGGGTTGGAATAGTATTTATCACAAAATGCTCTCTAGAGTTGTAATCTTGTAACTAAACTTGGAAGCACCCCAGTGATTTTGATCGATTCTCTTCATAAACTTTCTCTTTGAAAAAAAATACAACAAATTTGGTACGCCTACAATTCAAAATCGGAAAGAGTTAAGATAATAGATGATCGATCAATTAAAAGAACTAAATGCTCTTCTTATTTGTTCCATCCACTAGCGGTCCTACGTCAAACTTCCGTTCGTACCCCTAGACACATACCCGTTTACTTTTTTTTTAGCTATATTATCAACACTCCAGGATAGTTTGGATGACCTAGAACACATATTTCGCTTTTGTTGTGTGATTGTTGATAAAAAGTACCGGAAAAACCCTAAACAGCATCGAAATGTGCAAGGAAAAATCGTCCTGAATGTTGAACCTATCGGAGCTGATCCAATAGGTGTCCGGAGTTTACTTTTAAGCTTCGTGATCCGTTAGCCTTCTGAAGTTGAACTACAAGACCTCTGAAGTTAACGTATAAGCCAATTGTAATTGAGCTCTGAATTTTAGCAGTAAGGATGGCCTCTAGACCTGTTACAAGCCGCATGCAATTTTTTAACCTAAAAAGTCGTACAAAAAGATAATCTAATGATCAAAAGAGTCCATCCCACTAGAAACGACATCAATATGTCATTTGATTTCAGTTAAATATCTACTTAATTTTAAACTGTATTGGAGCACTTATGTTGAATTCCATTTACTTGCATGTTTGCACCCCCTGTAATTTGCACTGAACTGTTTTCTTTTTTCCTAAATAAATGTTATCCTTAAGTTTGCTATTGAACTTAATAATAAAAAAGCTGTGATGGATAAAACTAACCGAGTTAACAACTAACAAACGAAAAAAACCTACCACGCATTGGTTAACTGAACCTAAACGGCTAGTTTACTTCCGAAAACTTATTGTTATTAAATGATTGTTATCGAACTTTGATTTTTAAATAATGGTATGTATTCTGCGAATCATACATCGTGCATTTTTCTCTTTATTTAGTTCACATCAGCTTTAGTTTAATTCGTACAACTCTCTTTGAATCATTTCTCCCTCTTACTATCAACAACATCATTTCGTGTAGGATTTGCTGTCTCTTTTTCCCCCGATCCTTGAGCTAGAGAAGTCTTCTATTACCAATCTTCGGTTCGATCTCATTTTTTGTTGTTGTTGGTTTTTGCGATCGCTCTACCGGCCGTGATAGAACAAAAATGACTGTTCACATCTCCGTCTGTATGTGTGTGTTTTTAATGTCGTTTTTTGACTTTGTGTCCTTAATTTTCTGTTACATATTACCCACAAACTCTGAATCGCGCCGAACCGTGCCGTCTCGTGACAAAAATAAACCGACTCAAATGAACACGTGAACGAATGAGCAGCAAGAGGGTGGCATGCATACCACCGAATCGATGACCCGAGCGTTGATCACCGACGAATCACGTACCGGCAAAGCGATGGGTCCTGTACAATTGGGGTAGGTTTGTTATTTTCCGGTTTTTTTTTTGGTTTGTTTCCCGCTTCTGGAAACTATTCCTGTTTTTGGTTAGTTCTTCTTTTTCTCCTCATTCTTTCTATTTCTACCTTCCTCAGACTAAAGCTTATAATTTTCTCCCATCTATTTCTTCACCTTTTCTTCGCTTCTAAATTTATCAGCAAAATTCGAATTTCTTGGCACGGCGTAAAAAAAACAAAAACTACTTGGCTGATAAGTTTGGATTTTATTTTCAACTTTAATATCTAAGCCCTATCTCTAGCTATGCTATCTAAGGAAGAGAGCTTTTCGATTAACAAACTACTAATTTTCAACTGCAGTTTTCTGGAAAAGTCACAAGAACCAGAAGAGTATCTCCCATGGTCAGTAGCAAAACAACACCTAAACCGATACTTAATAATCAATCATGTTTACTTAGTGTTCAGTGCACACATAACTACGTCACTCAGTGAAACCAAATCAACTGTCATTGATCATGCGTATTCGTCCTACTGAAAGCATTCAAATTGTCAAAAACAACGAAAAAAAATATTTAATCAGTTTTGGTTTTCTGACGTACTGTTTCTATCATAGTGTAGTTTAGTAATTATTTCATAGTCTTTTGTCCGTCCTTCTTTTAGTGTAATCTGCTTTTAGATACTTTTGCTTTCCCATCACTTGCGTGTGATTTTTTTTCTCTCCCAATCACTCTTTACTATCCAAAAGTTTAACTTTGTAAAATGTGCTCTGCTTGGTTATTTCCCTTTTTTGCAAGTCGTTTGATGAAAAGATTCTGCTTCTGTGTCTCTTACCTTGTTTGTTTGAATAATGCGTGTTTTTGGTGATTTTCCTGACTGATTAATCATGATCAATACCAACTTAAATGTGTGTATTTTTAAAATCTGAAAGCGACTCTCAAAACAGTACCAACAGTTGCCTGAGGGCACGATTCCATCTCAAAGTCAGTGCCTGTTTGAATTTGAAACGTTTGCAAAATGCGTCTTTTGTTTCTTGTTTTCTGTTTTTGTTTCGATTCATTATTATACTTACATAAATCATCTAAACACAGTTCCATAGAGGCTGCTGAACGAATACGGACCAAGCGAGAAAAAAATCGCTTTCGTCCCGCTGCTAATGGTTTGAATAGTTCTAACATTCGGTTTTTCGTTTTCTTTCATACTTATCATTTCAAGAGAAAACGTTTCACTATTTTATACTAATTGAATTTTCTTTCCTCAATCGTTTCCTAAATTGCTGAACTTGCACCGAACAGTTTTGTCGCCGGTGTCATCCTGCGCGAACGTCTGCCAGCCTTCGAGCGTATGCTGTGGCGTGCCTGCCGTGGTAATGTTTTCCTTCGCCAGGCCATGATCGAGGCACCGCTGGAGGATCCGTCCAGTGTAAGTATTTTGCTGCATTTTTATTCCCAAAGAAATCTTGTTTGTTTTGCGTAGAAAATGTTCTTAAAGTTTTCGAAATTCATTCAGAAGAAATTAATCGTTGGAGATACTGTTTCCTTGGTGGTCATCGTTTGGATTCAGTATGAGAGAATAGAGAAAATCAATTATGTCCAATAATTACAACCAGTAATCAAGTATTTGAGGAGAGTTGAGAATTCTAAAAAGAGGGGACTTAGGCCGTTCGCAATGCTGAGTTTCAAAATTGTTTCAAACTACTCGACAGTTCCAAAATTTGAAACTGTCAAAAATGAAACTATAACACGGTCAGCGCAATGCACAGTTTTAAAAGGTGTTTGCTATTCATCCCTATGCTATGCAGGGCTGATAGCGGGTCATTTTTTAGTGACTTTGTCACTTTATTGAGGGTGGTCACTAAAAAGTCCCTATTTTCGACAAAAAGTGACTAAAGTCACTTTTTTCACCATTCCCGCTTGAATTGCTATGTAAAATTCGTTAAAAAAAATAAATAAAAATTGTAACAGTGCTACAGTATGCTTGGTTCTTAGTTGGAAGTTCATTAAATTAACTAACGAAAAAGTACGCAGAAGAAACCAAGACGATAAATCATCAAAGCACTTTTGACATATGACTACGCCTGTGATTTCTATATGGAGGAACACTTTGTGAAAACCGAAAATGGAACATGTAACAAAATTATGAAAGATTTTGAACGTTAATAACTCAGCTGCCCCTGGACCAATTTCAATAATTTTATCACCAATCGATCCGAAATATTTCTACACATCTGTTTAATTTAAGACATTATCATTTTTTAAAATGTCACTATTGAAAGTTGTACGAATGTGCAACTGTTGCTATGATAATCAAATGTATCACCGATTGCCTGCGAATAGTGATTTCCCTAACACAGATTTCAAAGTTGAATTCCATCCGGTCTCACCAAACGGTGTTTATTGCATCACCGCGTGGTGAGTGGTGGTGTTCTCCAGTACACCACGAAAGTTTACCTGCAAGCAGCAAGGCTGCCGTCAACCGCTGATCGGATTCAGTCCAAACACCGTGTGTGGTGGTGTCCGGTCTTAGGCATCTGAAGCAGCAGCAGCAGTGGTTTCGGTGCGTGGCGTTGAACATTGTTCTCCAGTACACAACGAAAGGCTGCCTGCAAGCAGCGAGATGCAGCCCACATGAGCATTCATAGAATGAGGAAGAAGCCGCACCACTATTGATCGGAATCAGTAGCTCTTCGTGAGTCACTGTGGGCCATCTATGCCAAGCGCGTCATACTAAAGAGTATAAACAGAGAGAACTCCGCTCAAATTCCTATTCCTACACAAATCACAAGCTCCTGCTGCAGTTAACAAATAAGATTTCCATTCAAAGTGTTTTTTATGTTACTTCATACGCGAAGTTAACGATTTTCAGAGTTGGTTGGAAATGCTAACATGAAGCTTTAGTGTGATGATTTATTAGCTAGAGAATGATCTTTAGAAGAGGGAAGGTGGATAGTTCCGTTAGAGTACGGCAGTATGAAAATTGAATAGAAGTTGAAAATGAGCGAAGGGCCATTAAAGCGACAGTTTTCAAGATAGACGCACATTTTTGCCTAGCCCGTACGATGTACGCGGGGACTTGAAGTATGTCTCCAAGTCCACAGGCAAAAATGTGCGTCCCTCTTGTTGCTCATAAACTGACTGCGGCTGTGGAATAGTTCTAGCGACGTTTTCATCACTACCTAAAGCCCCACGCTGCGAGAGCATTTCCAGTCGATGGTGTGTTATAATGCAGTTCTTCTTTACCCAACTATTGTGTTGCTCCTCTCGTCATGACCAACGTGATCATCTCAGAGAGGAAGCAGTAGGGTGGTTGTTGCGTGCTGTACCATCATCAGCATTGTTGACGGCTACTCCCGCCTTGAGTTGTTACATTCAAAGTGTTTTTTATGTTACTTCATACGCGAAGTTGACTGAACAGTCTCAAATGTCAAATATTTATTTCGTTACAATAAATATAAGTACCTTATTGTAACTAAAATCAAACACTTCATCAGCTTTTGGTTTTATGTATAGTTAATCTACTGATTAGTTTAAGTTAAATTTAAATCCACATCTCTAAAATTTCCCCAAATTCATGTACCTGATGAGTTTAAATTTTTATTCTTGTCAATGTCCACAAAATTTAACCCTTGGATCATTTTCGTCAATGTCCTTCTTCTTCTTCGCATTTCTAGCTTATTGCATATCGCATATTTAGCTTATTGCGTGCTCTCAACTTAGTGATCTAGATGCACTTCCAGAGTTATTAATTGAGAGCTTTCGATGCCTGTACCATTTTTGCATTGGTATAATTGTGTGGCAAGTCCAATCATACTTGTATGCCCAGGGAAGTCGAGACATTTTCCAACCCAAAAAATTCCTAGACCGGACTGGGAATTGAACCCAGCCACCTCCAGCATGGTCTTGCTTTGTAGCTGCGCCTTTACCGACTGAGCTAAGGGAGGCCCAACGTCAATGTCCTATAACTCTAGTTTTGTAGGTATTTCTGAGTAGAATTCCAAGGCAACCTTGAATAGGATTCAATAAAAAATTCAACGAAAATTCATAACAGCTTTTGACATTAATTATTAAGGAATTATGAGAAAATTTGGACGAGAAGTAGGATTACACCATGATAATTCTGAGGAAAACTTCAAGATAATACAGAAGAGAAATCTAAGGACATTCTGAGGATCGGAATCTGGAGTATATTTTCATGTGAGTTTTCGGAGAATTCATAGGATTCCCATCGAACCTCAAATGAATTCGGTAAAAAATTCCAGGAGAATTAAATAAAAAATATATTCAATTAGAATTTTTCCAACGGATTTCTTAGGGATATCCTTAGAAAATTCTGAGCTTAATTTCAAGTGGATTTCGAGGAGTTTTCTAAGGATATTTCGGTGTTATTTTTTCAGATAATTCAAAGGAGAATCCCAGTTGCACTTCGAAGAATTTTTGGGATTTCCTAGCAGAACTAAAAAGCTATTCGTAATGGGATTCGATATGGGAATTTCAGAATAATATTAAGTAAATGCTGAGGTGAATTCCAAGTGAATTTTCAGGAGAATTCTTCAGGATTATTAATAATGTAATGAACATGAGTGAATTAAAATAGTTTTCTCAAGATGTTGTAATATTTGTTAAAATCATTTTTTTTTCTTTTTACACTAGTAAATAATACCTAGGTACCGTGCCGATTCAAATTTCGGACACTTAAACTCGAATTTCGGACACTTTTAAAAGTTGATTATCTCGGTCGAATATGATCCACATGTCTTGTAAATTTTAAATTTTTTTGACTAGTGCCCTCCACGATCATCTAACATTATTACTTTGTTTCTAACTGGATGTAATATTTAATTAAAAATGAAAGTGTCCGAAATTTGAATCGTCCGAAATTTGAATCGGAACGGTATAAGAATTTCTAGCTCAATTTAAAATATTTCCATTATACATTTGGATTGTATTTTTCAAAAATACGTGAAATTAGGATCTTATCTTAGGTTAGTGAAACTATGGTACTTTATAGTAGAAACATTGGAAAAAAAAAAACCTGGAAAACTCATGGAATTTTATTAAGAAAAATTAGTAGACAATAAGCTATAATAATTATCAACAATATAAAAAATCGTCGGGAATCTGGAAGTCTTTTCCATCCTTTTTTAATTTCCCACTATATAAGTGAAATAACTCTAAATTGGGCCCATCGCTAAAAATTAGCTATTTATCAATTTTATCTAGATGAACGCGTCATTGAAACGGTACTAATGGATATTTTTGGTCGCTATTGAAAATTTGGTCGATTGCTGAATTTATTTATGGGCCCAAATTAGGGGCATTTAGGCCGACACGTACGTTTAAGCTCTATGACCCTTTCCTTTCCACCGTCGCTTTATTCTGGCCTGGAGGTTGACCGATCCGTTTTGTAAGCTCTAATAAAAAAGATTTTTTTTTGTTTTTTTTTACGTACAGCTACGTCTTTGTCGACTATACTGGGGTACAAATCAAAAAATATGTGGGGTGAAATAGTGTTAGGTTTTGAACGCTTGTAACTTTGTCATTTATAGATGAAAATAAAATCCAAATACGCCAATCGATAGGATATTACATTACAAATCTGCTGAAATAAGTATTTTTTTCAATTTTCTCCTAAACATATTTGAAAAATGTACAAATGATAATGTTAAGTTAAGTTAAGTTTTCACTACAAATTGGACGTCGGGGTGAATGCCGTGTGTTGGCTGAAACCTTGGACGGATTTAAATGTCTTCTCAAGTATCTTACTGAGAAGAAGCACAAATTTTTTACTTACGACACCAAAACTGAACGTGTGTTCAAGGTTGTCATGAAAGGACTGCCCAGTGGTGAATCCCTGGATCAGATCAAAGATGAACTGGCAAAATTACTTGGAGTTGTGCCACTCCAAGTAATCAAAATGAAAATGAAATCCCGTCCTGGCGATTCGCACAACGGCATTTCTAATGATTTTTATTTAGTTCACTTCAAGTCTAGTGAACTAAACAACCTTAAGGCCTTAGAAAAAGCTAGCCTTATGCTCCATGTCCGAGTGAAGTGGGAACACTTCAGGAAGACTGGAGGAAATTTCCAAAACCTCACTCAGTGCCGTAAGTGTCAGGGTTGGGGCCACGGAACTAAAAATTGCTACATGCCAGCTAAATGCATGAATTGTGGTGATTCCTCTCACGCAAAGGACGACTGTCCTGTGAAGGAAGATCCTAAGAAATTTAAATGTTCAAATTGTGGTGAAAACCACAAATCCAATTTTTGGGAATGTAAGACTCGCAAAGCGATCCTATAATCTCGTTCTAACCGTCAGGTAGGAAACGCTCCACGTACAAATTCCTCTGCTGTTAACAACGGTCAGCGAGGAACAAGTACTACATTCGTACCCGTAGGTACAAATATCACCCCTGCTTCAAATTTTTCATCTGTACCTACTCCCCTCGCTGCTAACAATGTTCAGCGAGTTAATGGAGCTACCTATGCTGCTATTGCAGCGGGTAGAAATCAAAATACTAACCAACGTAATTCTAACGGAAATTTTGACAATTTTGACAGAAATCATTAATTGACATGATTTCTGATATGCTTAAATCTAACTCCATGTTTGATGCTATTCAAACTGGAGTAAAATTTGCAAATAATATTGTCAAGACTTTAAAATTCAGTAATGGATTTTAAAGCATTAAATATTGTAAATTGGAATGCTCGATCTCTTAAAGATAATGAAGACGAGCTATTTAACTTTTTGAGGGTTCATAACGTACATATTGCCGTTATAACTGAAACGTTCCTTAAACCTGACCATAAGGTTAAGAAGGACACAAATTACTTGATTTATAGAAATGATCGTCTTGATGGACCCTGTGGTGGCGTTGTCATCATTATTCATAGACGAATCTAACATAAAATTTTTTCTTCATTTGAAACCAAAATTTTTGAAACTTTGGGAGTTTCTGTTGAAACAAAATTTGGACAACTTACGTTTATAGCTGCCTAATTGCCATTCCAATGCGTAGGCCAGAAAAAGAATTTTCTCAAGTGTGACCTCCAGAAACTTACCCGTCATAGGTCTAAATTCTTCATTATTGGTGATTTTAATGCAAAACACCGCTCATGGAATAATGCTCAAAGCAATTCCAATGGTAATATTCTGTTTGATGATTGTTCTGCAGGTTATTACACTATTCAATATCCAAATAGCCCAACATGCTTTTCTTCTGCAAGAAATCCCTCCACTATTGATTTGGTCTTAACTGATTCATGTCAACTTTGTAGCCAATTGGTTACCCATGCTGACTTCGGTTCTGATCACCTTCCAGTAACTTTTGAAATATCCCAAGAAATAATTTGTAATCCCAACAGCTCTACTTTCAATTACCATAGAGCTGATTGGGAGCAGTATCGAACATTTATGGAATATAACTTCGATCCAAACATTCCTTTGCAAACCAAAGATGAAATTAATTATGCTCTTGAATCTCTGACTACTTCTATAGTTGCAGCAAGAGCTGCCTCAGTACCAAAATGCGAGGTTAAATTCGATTCAATTATAATAGACGACGATCTTCAGCTCTTGATCCGTCTTAAAAATGTCCGTAGGAGACAATATCAAAGAACACGTGATCCTGTCATGAAAGTTATCTGGTGGGATTTGCAAAAACAAATTAAAAAGCGATTCTCTGCCCTGAGGAACAAAACTTTTGAAAATAATATTTCTAAATTAGACCCGAGTTCCAAACCCTTTTGGAAACTCACAAAAATTTTGAAAAAACCTCAAAAGCCTATTCCAGCGCTTAAAGAAGGTGGTAAAATTTTGATCACAAATTTGGAAAAAGCTCAGAAACTTGCTAAGCAATTCGAGAGTTCCCATAATTTCAGTTTGGGTCTTACTAGTCCTATTGAGAATCAGGTTGCTCGGGATTTTCGGAATATTTTCTCTCGGGAAAATATTTTTGATGATTCCTGGGGGACTGATTTGGACGAAGTAAGGTCTATAACTAAAAAGTTTCAAAATATGAAAGCTCCAGGTGATGATGGAATTTTCTATATCCTCGTCAAAAAAACTCCCAGAGAGTACCTTGTCTTTCTTGGTAAAATTATTTAACAGATGTTTCCATTTGGCATACTTTCCTGATAAATGGAAAAATGCAAAAGTTGTTCCAATATTGAAGCCGGATAAAAATCCAGCTGAAGCTTCTAGCTACCGCCCAATAAGTTTGCTTTCTTCAATAAGTAAACTTTTTGAAAAGATAATTTTGAATAGAATGATGCTTCACATCAATACGAACTCAATTTTTGTAGATGAGCAGTTTGGATTTCGCCATGGGCATTCAACTACTCATCAACTCTTAAGAGTTACCAATTTAATTCGTTCAAACAAATCTGAAGGCCACTCAACTGGAGTTGCTCTTCTAGACTTAGAAAAAGCATTCGACAGTGTTTGGCATGAAGGTTTGATTTCTAAATTGAAAAAGTTTAATTTTCCACTTTATATGTATTATGAAATTAGTTCAAAATTATTTAACTGACAGAACTCTGCAGGTAAATTATCAAAATTCCAAATCTAATCGACTACCTGTTAGAGCAGGAGTTCCTCAGGGTAGCATTCTTGGGCCTATATTGTATAACATTTTCACTTCGGACCTCCCTGATTTGCCTCAGGGTTGCCACAAATCTTTGTTCGCTGATGACACAGGCATTTCCGCTAAAGGAAGAAGTCTTCGTGTTATTTGCAGCAGACTGCAGAAAAGTTTAGATATTTTATCTTCTTATTTACAAAAATGGAAGATTTCTCCCAACGCTTCCAAAACTCAACTTATAATATTTCCATATAAGTCTAGAGCTTCCTTTTTGAAACCTAGTAGTAGTCACATAGTCACTATGAACGGAGTTCCAATTTTCTGGTCAAACCAAGTGAAATATCTTGGATTAGTACTTGACCAAAAATTAACTTTTAAAGATCACATTGAGGGCATTCAAGCTAAATGTAACAAATATATTAAATGTTTGTATCCTCTTATAAACAGGAAATCCAAACTTTGCCTGACGAATAAACTTCTAATATTTAAACAAGTTTTTAGACCGGTCATGCTTTACGCTGTGCCAATATGGTCTTGTTGTTGCACTACCAGGAAAAAAGCACTTCAAAGGATTCAGAACAAAGTTCTGAAAATGATTTTGAAGTTGCCTCCCTGGTACAGTACTACCGAAGTACATAGAATTTCGAATGTTGAGACTTTAGAACAAATGTCCAACAAAATAATTAATAATTTCAGGCAAAAATCGTTGCAATCCTCAATTGCAACGATTAATTCCCTTTATACTTAGATAAGATTTAGTTTTAGTTTTTAGTTTCAAGAAAAAAAAAAAAAGCGTTGCTGTCATGCCTCTGCTCATTACCGCTTCGGACGGTGTGGCTCTTGGTCCTGCAGCAAGCGAACCAAGTCAACGGATTAATGTGGATCACGGCGTCACAATGGGGAAATGAGGAACTTGTAAAAGTTATAACGGGTGTTCAACAAAAAATGCGAATTTTTTCAGTCATATAGCTAGCAACAAAAATTTATTTTTTCAACGAATTCACTATTTTTTAGATATATACATGTATGGTACATCTGTATATGCAATTAAATTAACATCCGATGTCCAGCCTTTTATAAATATTCTGCACAAAATATACTTTCTGCCCCGCCCCATTAATAAAAAACGGCGGAAAATCCTATCAGGTGCGGTTGCACATCGTTCTGCTTGAACCTGGAAAGATATAAAACAGCACTGCTGTCGTGCTTTCGCTCATAACCGCTTCGGACGACGTAGCACTTGGTCCTGTAACAAGCAGGACCAAGTCAGCGGCTAAAGGTGGATCACGGTGTAATCAGATTTCACAATGAGGAATGAGCCTTGGGTCCCGTTCCACTAAACCGAAACGCGGAAAAGTTATATGTGCCAAACCGGTTCATAAGTTGATGGGTTGATAGGTAGGGTCCAGGTGAGGGAGCTGCCTCCCTGGCGCCGGTAGCATTGCTGCTCAGCACGGAAAATAAGATCGGTGGAAAACAAATCAAGGAAAAGAAAAAGTGAACCATAACCGAAACATTGAAATACTTGAAAAATTTAAGATAAAGTATAATAGTCGAAAATGCATGATATACATCAATTTTGCGTGGTTCTACGTCATACTGCGGTCGTGTATAGGACACAACCTTTTAATTTTATAAAGTCCATTACTATTCCTTACGAGATACATTTTTCTTCAAAGATCTCCAAACTTCACTGAAGTCCTTTTTTTCTGAACACATCTTAGCTTCTCCTGGAATACTTCCAAAGTTCTTTTTAAAACCCTCTGGACTTCCCTAAAGTCCCTTTGAAATTTCGTACTCAAGATTGTTATAAATTTAAATCTTTTGATGTTTGCACCTTTTTTTTTATTGCGATTTGGAACTGTTTTTACTTTATACGACTTCAGCCCCAAACGGTGTTTTGATTTTTGGACAAAACCAGGTGACATTCCTATTTTACGAGCCACCGTTCGAACCGAGAGATTCGGGTCTTCCATCAATATCCTCTTCACCTTTCGGTCCACGACAGCATCCACGTCCAATGTTTTATCACTTCTCGGTGTCCTCTAGACCGTCAAACGTTCCGAAAATGAGCACACCGTGAACAGTGGATTTAGGTAAATCCAATTTTTTTTTGCAAGTTCCGTATTGACAAGTCAGGATTTGCATTACGTCCGAAAAAAAAACCTGCTCGCGCACATGTTTTTCATTCGTCGCCATCTTGAACACTAAACATGGAATGTAAACACCAATCATAGTCTTTTTCATCAATGAATCCCAGCTATACAACAGCGAAATTTTTCACTCTATTCGCCTGGAAGTATGCAATTTGCTGTGGACTTAAAGGTGACCAATCTACATACAGCTCGCATTCACATTCATGAAAAAAAACATCTTCAGAAATCTTATTAAGACATGGCGGATCTGAGCAAAAATAGTATCAAACGGCTAAACTTTAATATGAATTGTATTATTGAATTCAGCCCTGAAATCCCAAACAGACTCCAAATTTTGAATGTAATATTGTAAGCTTAAGTCCATTGTTTTTTTTTATTATATTTGATTTTTAATTGAATTTTAATGTTTGAAGACTGTTCTAAATATAAGTACGTTTCGAAAACCATATGGCATTGTAATTTAAGGATCTATGATGGCAGATTTGACTACAAAATGGCAATAATCGAACTGTTATAATAGTTGTCTACGCATAGAGGTACAGCAACGTCAAGGTTGCTGTTTATGTCTAGTGAAATTCAGTGCAACAATGATTCTAATTCATGTTTACCATCATCTCCCACAGGGCGACAAGGTGTACAAGTCGGTATTCATCATCTTCTTCCAAGGTGACCAGCTGAAGACGCGCGTCAAGAAGATATGCGAAGGTTTCCGCGCTACGCTGTACCCTTGCCCGGAAGCTCCGACCGATCGGCGCGAGATGGCCATGGGTGTTATGACCCGCATCGAGGACCTGAACACCGTTCTCGGGCAAACGCAGGACCATCGTCATCGGGTTCTGGTGGCCGCTGCCAAGAATCTGACGAACTGGTTCGTCAAGGTTCGCAAGATCAAGGCCATCTATCATACGTTGAATCTGTTCAACTTGGATGTAACGCAAAAGTGTTTGATCGCCGAGTGCTGGGTTCCGCTGCTGGATATCGAAACCATCCAGATTGCACTGCGCCGTGGAACGGAACGTTCCGGATCGTCCGTTCCGCCCATCTTGAATAGGATGGAGACTTTCGAAGATCCTCCAACGTACAATCGTACGAACAAGTTTACCAGCGCTTTCCAGGCTCTGATCAACGCGTACGGTGTGGCCAGCTATCGTGAAATGAACCCGGCTCCCTATACCATCATCACATTCCCGTTCTTGTTTGCGGTGATGTTTGGCGATTTGGGACACGGTGCCATTATGGCTCTCTTCGGTTTGTGGATGGTGCTGAAGGAAAAACCACTTGCCGCTAAGAAAACCGACAATGAAATCTGGAACATCTTCTTCGGTGGACGTTACATCATTTTCCTGATGGGTGTGTTCTCGATGTACACTGGATTTGTGTACAACGATATCTTCTCAAAATCGCTGAATGTGTTCGGATCTTCCTGGAGTATCAACTACAATTCATCAACGGTAATGACGAACAAGGCTTTGCAGCTGAATCCGGGCAGTAATGATTACTCGGGAACACCTTATGCGATGGGCTTGGATCCGGTTTGGCAAGTGGCGGAGAACAAGATCATCTTCCTGAATGCATACAAGATGAAGATTTCGATAATTTTCGGCGTTCTTCATATGTTGTTCGGTGTCTTTGTCGGACTGTTCAATCATCGTTATTTCAAGAACAAGATGGCCATCTACTGCGAGTTCATTCCTCAAGTAATCTTCCTGGTATCCCTGTTCTTCTACATGACCCTGCTGATGTTCATGAAGTGGACAAAGTATTCGGCCGATAGTGAGGACATCCTGTTCTCGGCGGGATGTGCTCCGTCTATTCTGATTACCTTCATCAACATGGTTCTGTTCAAATCGGTCGAGGAAGAGGGCGAATGTAGCCCGTTCATGTTCGCCGGACAGCAAGGTATACAGAAGTTCCTGGTCATGATTGCACTGCTGTGCGTACCGTGGATGCTGCTCGCCAAACCTATCATGATCATGCGTGGCCGCAAGCAAGCAGTGGTAAGTTATCTACCAGGTTACGATTGGACTTGTGATTTAATTTTACAATTTGCAGCATCAACCAATTACTCCATACAGCAATGAAAACGGTGAAGCTGAGACCGGTCTTAACCAACAGAATGCAACCCAGGGAGCAGTTCAACAGGGTAGTCATGGGGGTCACGATGACAATGAGGAAATGTCTGAGATTTTCATTCACCAGGGCATCCATACCATCGAATATGTGCTCGGTTCGGTTTCCCATACTGCATCGTACCTTCGTTTGTGGGCTCTGTCGCTTGCTCATGCCCGTAAGTTGGAGGGCTTTCTAATCTATTGATTGAGTGAACCTTGGTCTTTAACACTGTTTTTGTTTTCGCAGAATTGGCTGAAGTATTGTGGAACATGGTGCTGAAGAACGGTCTCCAACAAGGAGGTTGGATCGGCGGAATCTTTCTGTGGGCTATCTTTGGGTGCTGGGCTGTGCTGACGGTTGGCATTCTGGTACTTATGGAGGGTTTGTCTGCTTTCCTGCATACTCTTCGTTTGCATTGGTAAGTTTTGACTAGCAAGGTCTGCAATGATAAAGTTTCTTGACATTGGTCTGTATTTTTTTTTCAGGGTCGAGTTCCAGAGCAAGTTCTACGGTGGTTTGGGTTACGCATTCACACCGTTCTCGTTCGAAATTATTTTGGATACAAGCTCCAGTGCTACGGAAGATTAAGCTCCGAATTGACGAATTGATGAAAGGCAACAAATTGATGGACAGGTTTATACAAACGTTCAACTCGAAATATAGAATATAAACGTTAATGTTACTCTGCGAAATGCGTTTTAAAATATTCAAACTATTCTACTTGCGCAAGCTCGGCTTTGGCTTAAAATTAAATTCTTAAAACCACTTGTCATTCATATAATGTAGAAGAACCGAGTTGGATTCAAAACAGTTAATATTTATTACGAAAAAAAAAATGCAACAGTACTCTCTATTCAAAAATTTTGAAGTAAACTTCAACCAAATAAAATATTCAGTACAGGATCATAGCCATGTTAAAGTAAATGTTTGCAACCAGAATTATCGATTGTAGGCAATATTGACGTTCACATAAAAATATAGATGTAGATTTAGCACACAGATTAGAAGCAGCAGCACAAATCAAGATTTGGTGTTCATTCGATCCGAAATTGTCACTGGGGAGTGTTTAAAAACGTTCAAACATTTTGATTTTTCTCAATAAAAATGAGTTCACAAGCTTACTTATGGGGTGTTTACACTTATGCTATTTCACTAGCACTAATGAGCCAGCGGCTAGCAAAAAAGCTCACCAGCATAATGTAAACAGGGCATCAGCGTTTACCAGCATGAGATTTCAGGAACAACTGAAATTCGTGCTAGTTGGTTGAGCTAGTGAACGAGCATAAGTGTAAACAGCCCATAAGCAGGAACTTCTTCCTATAAGATACAAAATTACGTTGAAGAAATACGATCTTTGTCCGCAAACAGAGGAAAATAAAAAAGAGGTTTGACAAATACCACAGCAAACATCGTTCAGTGCTGTTTCTAAGCTTTTCGAACTAGAACCGTTGCTCTCATTGCAAGCAGTATTGGATTGTTGATCAACATGGGTCGCTGCCGGTCGCTCTACAACCACCAACCTGCTGTGCCTCGCACTGTATATTATCGAAAGCATACCGACCTATCCGCGGCATTCGACAAGTTGAATCATGCCATTGCGATTGCTAAACTCGACAGGCGGCTTGGTATAAGCGGTAATCTTCTGCGTTGGGACCGTTCGTATGTTACTGGTCGCCATCTAATGGTTACTACAGGAGATAGCTGATCAGTTAGTTTCTGCGCCACATCAGGTATACTTCAGGGAGGCCACCTGGGCATGGTACAAGCTGAATATTGCATTAGTTAGGACCTAACATTGACAGATTCTCTTCTTCGACTTTCTCTTTGTATCCCCACGGCCATGTAAATACATTCCCAGGTATTTTCAGCACACAGGTCGATAGAAGAAGCTTTTATCCTGACCAATGGGAATGTGGAATCCTTACAATTTAAACAATGGCGTCAAGCGGACTGTTGTATCAACAATCAATACGAAACTAACGATTTTGAATTGGCTCACTACTTGACTAGCCTATTTGGTCCCAAGCAAACGATTAACGTACCCTATTCTAGTCGAAATTCTAGTACTACACAATGTTTGTTTTGATTCGCTATGAAAGTTTGACAGATAAAATGAGGGGTCAGTGGATTTTCCTATGTTTCGAGGGGTGAATCGAATAGCTTGGGACCGAAGATAGTACCAGAGCTGAGCCAAAAAGTTGAGCAGTTTTCTTCGGGACCTACTAGTGTTAGAGTTACCTCTATGGTTGTATCATGGAGTTAGTGGAATTGGAAACTGAAGAGTTTATAGACATGTTTTTAGAAAGTTATCTGATTTTCCAAAACCACACAATTTCATAGCTGAAGAACAAGGGAAATATTTGACGTATGTGAAAACTAACTTGAAAGTGATGGTATGTATAATAATATGTGATTTTTCTGAGAACTTTCCATTTGTTGTACAAGACGCTGTACAAGGATTTCATTGGGCAAACGCACAGTGCACTATTGACCCATTTGCTATATATTATAAGGATGATCATACCTCAGATTTAATGGTTAATTTCACTGCAATCGCTAACTTTACCAAGCACAACCACGTTGCAGTTCGTTTATTCGTAGTTAATGTTGTGATATGCGCAGTACAGAGAAAGGAAAATAACGTGTAGTACGGTTGACTAACCAACTCGGAATGAAACTTTATTTCTGCTTGTTGTGGTATACAGCAATGAGTGTATTTGTGTATGTGAAAGGAAGAGTGTCAAGAGAATATATATAGCACTGATATAAAAACGATCCTGTCTTTGTTGTGATTGAAATGACAAGAGTCTAACAGTTAATTGTGTAAATTTCATCAAAAATTCACTTTTTCTCAGATGGATCAGGCCGTCAGTACAAAAATAAGATGACAGCCTTTAATTTGTGGCACATGATCGTTCTCGGAAGAAGAACATTCTGTGAAACTATGAAAGTATCTTTAAGCATGTTTTGTGTCTATAATAAAAAAAAAATATGTATGAAGATATAACAAATAAACGAATTTTATTTCAAACCTGTTATATACATAGTTGGAAACCATAAGATTGCTTTATCAAAGCATTAAATCTAGCCCAAATAGATATCTATATTGAGTTCTATATACTCCGTGAAAGATGTATTATCTAAATTTAATCTAAAAGTACTCCATTGGATCCCCATGCATCTTTATTTACAATGCTACGAATCACTGATAATCTAATCTAAGCTAATCTAACACCAACACAGCCAGTTCTTGAAAGTATCTAGGGGAATTTACGTATTCTCGGCAACCTAAGCAGCGACCTTCTTTCTATAGCCTTTTTCTCTAAGGAACGCACACATATGCAGTATTGGTTTGTTTACAATCTTTTGCTGCCAGCTGCTCTAACATTTTCAGTCGAAAGAATTGTCAAAAACTGTTTTGAAACGCTTTTACAAAGCTCCAATCTTCTCTAGTGAGAGCGAGTATTGTCGGCAACCAGTTTTTCTTCGGCAACCGTTCCATTTGAACTGCATGTACATCTGCTGTTCTATTATCGGCAACTCGAAATCAGCTACAATTTGCTAGATTGCTTTTTCTCAGTGGTAAAAATATAGTCAAAGTGAAGCTGAAAGCATAAAGAATCGTTTGCATGCATTCAGCGAAGTGTTTTTGTAAGAAAATCCAGTGAAAATAGTGTTTCAATTTGTGTTGCCGAAAATAGTCTGTCATGCCGAAGCCGTCATTTCCCCTATATATATACCTACATCATTTTTCTTGTCTATTTGATATATGTTTCACATCGAAGATGCGTCACACATATCAAAACGGCCAGGCCTACTGTGCAGCATTTAAGGGCTAAGATGATTCAGAAAACATCGGGCCTGTTTAAATCGAAGATTTAAACACGATGCTTCAGAATCCAATAAATGGATAAAACGTGGACATCTCGTACCGTACGTTCCGATTTTGGTAATTATATGATTGGTTGGTCGTTGGAAGCATCAAAGCTAGAAATGTTAAGTGATGCTCCATTTTCTTCTGGCGGTTGGGACATGAGCACTAGCTCTTGTCCTAGCCTTTTATGACTTATGGCTATAGCGCCATTACTCGCTTTCTGAAAAGAGAATGATGATGATGATGATGATGATGATGAAAAAAGTAACAAGGACTAAAATGTGATCCTTTGATTACTGGAAAATCCTGATTCCCTAGTTTGAAGTTGTTACGACTAGGGTTCGGTGGCAGATCTTATACCAGTAACGCACCACAAAAAGGTGATCTACCAACGTTACTGGTTTGAAAAGATAAAAATTTACATTAAGAAACGAACTCACCAAGTTTAGCCAATTGAACCTGAAGGCTGCCTGACATGTGTTGATGTAGAATTCCAAATTGTTGACGAAGCTTGACGAAGATCAACGTGAACTAGTCCGGTTTATGGTAGTTGCACGGAATGTCAAATGTTCGGGTGTATGTAGTCGATTTTTTATGTGCATTGGCAAGCCTTTTCGTGGCCAATGGTCAGGTTACAACGCTGCGACTCAACGAATGATGGAACTAATGATGGGACGCCTCGTGGAGGTTCTACTTGGCTTCGGAACAGATTCTCAGCGGCAAATAATAGGAAACTAGAATGAGGAACTAGATATTGTCTCTTGGGCCTGGTTATGACCAGATCAGCAAGCGATTATAGATAAAAAAAAAACTCGACGGAAAAAACAAACGTCAGGTTCAAACACACGCACAGCCTACTCAGCTTACAATGCTACGAATCACTGATAATTTAAGAAACTCAAAATCAATCAATAAATTTGATTCAAGTCTCGATGAATGTCATGGTAGTCTGGGATCAGAAATTGAAATAAGTATAGATAATGTGACCATGTTACAGTCGCTATAAATCAATGGAGACGCATGGTAGTCTAGTCGCATGATAACTTAAAAAAATATATAACTCAAAAACGAAACAAACAAAATGGAAAAATGTTAAAACATAATACGCCCTCTATCTGCAAACAATGAAATCCATAAAAAATAAATACAATCAATGTGTTTTTAATACAGAATCCCAATTTTTTTACATCACTTTATTTTTTTCTGAAAAAATGCTTTAAATTACCTTCTATTTGGTATTTTGATTTTTGAAATCAGCCGAGTGGTTAAAACATAGATTTTTGAAAAAAAGTAATTTTTGAAAAAAAAAACGAAAAATTATAATTTTTTGGACCACCCTAACATAGAACTGGTCACTCTAATGACAAAATATTAAAAAAATACGGTTTTGATATTTTGCGACAAGGAACAAATCTACCAATTTTTACGAAATTATGAGAACCCATACATCGTTTTGCTATGGAATGGCTGTACAGGATGACCATTTCCATGTTAGGTTGGTCCAAAAAATCGACTTTTTTTCAAAAATGATTTTTTTCAAAAATGTAGAACTTCAAAATATCAAATGAAAGGTAATTAAAAATACTTTTTAGGAAAAAATATAAGTATATGAAAAATTGAGATCGAGGCCGCAAAATGTTATTATATTTTCTTTGAAACTACACACAAAAAATAATCACTACTAAAATTAAAAAAATCATTGGTAAAATTAAAAGTTTTCGTTGGTTCTTTTTGGTAGAAAGTCTGACGCATTCAAAATAAAAATGTGTAACTTGTCAAATCAAAAGTTTAGCTCTTCGTTCATTTTAAAAGTTGATGCTTTTGAATCAAATTGTAGAACTGTCAAAAGGAAAAGCAATGCTTTCAAAATGAAGTGCAAACTGTTTCAGTTCGAAAAGAGTTGTTTTTATTATGACAATATATTTTTTATATTAAATTTTAAATATTATCATATTAATGATTTTCAAGATTAAGAAAAGTAGCCAAACTAATGTTTGTATCATATTTAAAACATAAATTTATTCATTTATTTAATAAAAAAAAAACAAAGAAAATAAAACATAGTTTATGTTACCAGCGCAGATTGTGTCCTAGCCCTATTAGGAATCAAAGGAAGGCTAATCCTACTGTTCATCGTCCTGAGTCTTCTAAGTGGCATGGGTGCTGGCACTAGCTGATCAAGATCTCGATCTATTGAATATGGGAGAAAGGCACGTATATACTAGCACCGCATAGTGATAAAATTCTAAACTATTGTCACCCAACAAAAAGATCTTGACTTCCTAAAAAACTTTGCCCAATACATTTACTTTCTATCTTGTCAGGATCTAGAGATATTTTATATGCAAGAGTTTCACATCTATAGTAGCGCCGCAAAGTGAGAAAACTCTGAACTACTGTCCACCTGCGAAAAAGCCTTGACATCCTGAACAACTATGCCGAAGACAGTACCTTTCTATACTCAAGATATTTTATATGAGAATTTCACGTGTATACTATCGTCGCGTAGTGAGCAAATTCTGAACTATTGAGCACCAAGCAATAGGCTTTGATCTCCTGAAAAACTTTGTGAAAGACAGTAACTTTTTATCGGGTCAGGATCATGAGATATATCACAAGCGAGAATTTCACGTGTATACTAGCGCTACGTAATGAGAAAATTCTGAACTACTGTCCGCCAGCGACAAGGCTATGATCTCCTGAACAACTTTGTCGGAGACAACTAACTTTCTATCTGGTCAGGATCTCGATATATTCCATGTTGTAATCAGTTAAGTCAAATCTCACGTAGTATAGTCACAGTTTACGCGGTTTCCATTTACATATTCCCTATTATTCGCATTTTTTAGGTGTTTACTGTAATCAAAGTTAAGCTTGTTTAGATCAAAACAAGTTTTTTGAGGAATACTCGTTGGTTTCAGATCGATTGGTAACTCAGCAACAAAATGGCAATGGAAAACTCATGTGTGTTGTACAAAGTACAACAGCGCGAGTAACGGAGGGTTAAAGGCCCTTTGGTACATTTTTTTTTACGGATCTTCAAAAATTTTGTTCGGTTGCCGTTCCCCGCCCCCCCCCCCCCTGAAACGTGACGTAATTTAGTGAACGGAACATCATGGGATTCAGTTTTTGTATGTTGTTGTGGCACATGACATGTTTGATTCCTTTCAGGTCAAAGGTAATCCAAACCCCTTAACGCCGGATTTTGTAACAAAGGCACACAAACACTTAAATATAGTCATTTCCCGATCTTGTCAGACTGAGTCGAACGATGTATGTTACTCGTCCTCGGATCGAAAGTCGGTTTTCCAAGCGGTTTATGAAAAATCATTTGCATGATAGGTAAAAATAATATGACTCCGGATAATCGAGCCATTTTCTCCGGATAATCGAGCCCCGGATAATCGAGCCTCCGGTTAATCGAGCCTCCGGATAATCGAGTCCGGCATGTAGTAAAAAAATCCAACAAGCAGAGCCTCGTAAAGAATACAAATGAGCATTTATAGGTTTTGGTAATAACACATGACTAATAAGCGGCGCTGGTGGTGTAGTGGTAAGCGGGGTTTCCTCTCACTCCAGCAGGCCTAGGTTCAATCCCAGTCGGCGCCGTCGGGAAGTAAAACCGTTGGTCCCCGGTTCATGAGTTGATGGGTCGATAGGTAGGGCCTCCCTGGCGTCGGTAGCATTGGTGTTCAGCATGGAAAACAAGATCGACGGAAAACAAATCAAGGAAAAAAAAAAATAGTGTCACACGTATGGGATGGGACATTTTTCCTATTTACTTTCTCTGCCATTTGCTTGAAAAGTAGCGCATTTTCGAAGAAAACAAAACTCCACTTTTCCAGATGCTTCCTAGCATTGGCTCAGATTTATTTCCTTCATTTGTTGGCTTTGTTCAATAACTATTTTACACGAGCTTTTTTCACTGTAAGCTCTCAATAATTGATACATAGTTTTGCTTGTGTTTACATCTATTCAAAATGCGATTTTCATATGTAAATCCTTTGTTGTTACACTTGTCATAACGATGTGGTTGTTTGTTTAAATTATGCTTGTAAATCAATTTGTATGAACAGTTGGCTAATCATGGTATGGTTTGTGTGGAACGCTTTGGTCCACATTTCGATTCCATATGTTTTACTTTGAAAAAATCCTGTGCGGCTGGGATTTTAAGGACTGTGATTCAGTGGTAACTCAATCTAGGTATGGGTTAAGTTTCAATGGCTTTTATTCAGGGATTCTTTATTTACAGTAGGGCTCTCTACTATATATATCAAATAGACCAAAGCGTTGTGGCGTTGTACAATATTACTAAACGCGTCTTTCCCAAATGATTTATGCTCTCCATGTCCATCAGTAAAATTCACAGATAATCGGCAATTGATTTCTTTTGTATTTAGTAAGCCGTAGTTATTTGTTTTCCTCTCTTAACAATATATTACACACATTGGGTTTAGCTTTTATTTAGATTTTTGGTATGGCACATTAGCACACGTCTCCTTTTTTGTTGTGTTTGTTTAACGATGTTTGCTTTTGGTTAGTTGCAATGGTACAATAGATTAAAATATTGTTGTTGTATAGTTTACACATTTTCGTTTAGCTTACAGTTGACGTTGAAGAGAAAACCTAAGTCAAAAGGATCAATAATGTATAATAGGTTAGATTAATGTTTTGGGGGCATATTTTCTTCATGGATGATGGTCTGTCTCTTGATGGTGTGGTAGCAGTTAGATATTTGTGTGGTTTGTTCTGGTTGTTGTATATGCAGTCTGTACTCATCTTCATGTGGTTGATTATCGGCTTCATTGCTGCGCGTAGAATAGGCCGGGGTCCGAATATTCCGCAAATGTTCATAAGGTCCAGTGGATTCTGGTACGACGACGACGACGACGACGACGCGACTGTCGATAGGGTGCTGTCTGTGGATTATCTGCGTGGATTAACGTTTGCCGAGGCCAAAGTTGTACCGATTGGGGAGTCGTTTGTCTTCGTACGCGCGCTTGCCCAGTCCGAAGTCGTACACTCGCCTTTTGCCCAGGCCAAAGTGGTACCGGTAGGCTGTTGGAAATAAATTTCATAGGATTTAGAACTCTGTGTAAAATGAAGATCTTGTAGCGAATTTGTTTTTTGGATGAAAATATAGATACTAATGTAATAGATATGTGGATATGCACCAAATTTAGTATACAAAAGAGCATTTCCAAGAGTTCGCACTTAGTTTTATAATCCATGTATCGTTTTTACAGTGACATCAAATATTAATCTTTTAATTGTGTCGAAACTCTTAACGGAATCCCTTCATGAAGAGCTTTTTGAGTGTGTTGATTTATTTCCTTTTAATTCCGTTATAATTGCTTATCGTTTGACAGATACGCGTATTTTGTCTACTACCGTGCGGGACCGAAATCCGTACACCTTGTTGAATTTGTTTATTTATATGCATCATAACAATGTAAATATTATACATGAATACATATTCATGTTCATTCATGCATTAGCTTGATGTTTACGTCAACAATTAAGCAGTATGTCATGCAATTAAAATAAGAAAAATAAAAACCTTATCACGTGTCGGGCATTTCTATCAATCGGTTGCGTTCTTAACGATTTTCTAAGAAAATCTCTCGGATTTACTTCCAGTTGTTAAGCGTATTTAAGAGATTTTTGCAAGTAGTTTCCTGAAGGTCGATCGGAAAGGTAAGTGTTTATCGTTTTATATCTCAATTCTAAGCAATGGATCATTCATATGGTATTTATTTATCAAAATTAGTACTGTACGGATTTCGATCCATATATAACAGCTGATTCTAAATCCGTACACTTGTGCATTCACAATGACGACTCCACTTTATCCAATGTTTTTCAGCAGATCATGGAAGCTAAATACACGCCGGAGGATTTGGAGAAGACTGTGGCAATGATGCGTGCGGGAAAATCTTACCAAGAAGCATCCAGGGATTTTGCCGTTCCATTTACCTCCATAAGAGATGCCGTATTGAATCGCTACTCTCTTATTTTATTCGTATTGTAAATGTTAAATTATTAATATCTTTTAATGAAGAGCGTCAAGAACCAGCCGAAAAGGAAAACAGCGCAGCTCCTCTACACCAACACGCATATACAAATTACAGAGAGCAGACAGAAATGGGCAAGAGAGCATTCCCAACAGTACCACCAGCGAGGAATGGCCGGAAATATACATGAAAGTGAACGGGAGAAAATTGATAAAGAGAACGCAAAGAAACAAAGGATTGAGGAACGACAAAAGAAAAAGGTTGAGCGAGAGAGGAAGAGAAGGAAGAAGATAAAGAAGAGGAAAGAAAGCTGGAAGCAAGAAAGCATTATAACTTGAAAAGGTAATGGCAACAATGGAGAAGAAGCAGAAGAAAGCTGCGGAAAAGAAGCAATGAAAGATCTGCATTTTTATAATTATTACTCTCTTGACGTTTTAAATTAAATTAAGTTTTAGTCGTTAACTTACGTTTATTTTATTTTTCATGCACAAAACGAAAAACTAATCTTTGATGTCAGTTCATTGTTATTTGATGTTGGTTTCTAAGATGGTTGTAATTTTTTTTTTCACTTATCCGCCATTATAGGGCTACCATCTTAGGAACCGCTTATTCTATCGCTTGATGCCAGTGGGTTGGTGGAGCGTTTCCATTATCGGTGTATTAAAGATGTTTCGGCAGTCTTCTATTCAGTTTGCTATTATTGATTTGACAACATTGTCCAAGCTACACCGCCCAGTTTAGTCCCGGTTAATAATGTTTTGTAGCGTTGAGCTGGAGTGCCCCCAAGTTCCAAAGTATGGCGCATCTTGCACGTTATCACATGTCAAATTTCAAAGACCTCGAAGTTGTGATCGGAGGTAAACTCTAGTAATAATATTTAACCCAAAGAACTGGTATAGACTAAAATTTGGAGGAAATGAATCCTTAAGCATGATATTAGTTAGCATAAAAATTAAAATAAATTAATATTACTTCATTACAGCTGGAGGTATTTGTGGTTTCAGTAAACACGTTTTTTTTAAAGTGATATTTAATTTTTTAGCTATATCTCAAAAACTATCCTACTGAGATTCTTTGGACTACATTTTTGGATTCAGCGCACGATTTTACATGGGAAATGACCATCAGCGTACAACGTTCAAATATGCTGTAAACTAGTGTATTTAAACGAGTATATCTGTTTTGGACTCCTAGCCAAGCAACTTCTAAATAAATACTTTATTCAAGACAGCAACATGTTTTTTTTCATTGATTTAGATCAATTTACATGCATGTACGGATTTTGATTCATGACTGTACGGATTTTGATTCAAAATTGTACGGAATTTGATTCAATCGTAGAACGCTGTACGGATTTTGATTCAAGAGATGTGCAATTTAAATACTTTTTTCTTATAATTAAAGGTAATTTTAAGACCTTGTGTTTGCAAATAATGGTAAAATAAAGATAAATGTATGGGGAAAAGATGTGATACAGAGCATAATGTGATAGCATTATTTAGTATTGACTGTTAATGGTTCTCTCGTGCTTAGGTGTACGGATTTCGGTCCCGCACGGTACTTGGGGTTGAGTACTTGGCACTGATGAAGTCTGCGAGTAGTAGACGAAATATGCGTATCTGTCAAAAGATAAGCAATTATAGTATAACGGAATAAAAGGAAGTTAATCAACACACTCAAAAAGCTCTTCATCAAATATTAGTTTATAACCGTGAGTCTATCCTTGACTACTTGGCCACAAACTATGACATTTTTCTTAAATTTGTGATTAAGTCAAAGTGTTTCGACTGTCTACTTTTGCCTTAATGGTGGTGTAAGAGTGCGCATTTGATTAAATGTTTCACGTAAACGTCTATTTTAATTGAATGCATGCTTTTTAAATCAATAACAATTCAAAATTGGACCTTAGGTTGTCAGCTTTACACACATGTTATTTGTATGCACTTATCTGTTCATGCGTTGAAAGTTGGTAGTTTTTAGTGGTGGAAATGAGCATAAATCGTACAGATGTGATGTAATTGATGTATTCGAAAATATTATTTCACTAAATTATACTACACTGATAGGCAAAATAAAGTGCCCACCCCATCATTTTTTGAATTTCTCTCATTTATTTGGTTCAAATTAAAGTAAATACACTGTAGTATTTTTTATATCTTATTCTTTATATTCTTTTTAAGTTTCACTTATAGAATACCAGATAAAAAGAAGAGACTGACTCGAAGAAAAAAAAATCAAAATGGGTGTAAAAAAGAACAGTGACAAAAAAAAGTGCCCACTGCATTTTAACTCCAGAAAACATAAAATAAAGTAAAAGAATACCAGCCTAATAGTTAATGTGTCCTCCTTTGGCCTTCAGGACCAGCTGCAGGCGCTTCGGCATGCTCTCCACTAGATTCTTCAGGTGCTGTGGATCTAGTTCTTCCCAGGCGCGCTCCAGGGCTTCAAAATAGTTATTTTTATTGGTAACACCAGTTTTGTCAACCCTGGCATCGAGAATCGCCCACAAATTCTCGATGGGGTTGAGGTCCGGGCTTTGTGGAGGCCATTCCAGTGGTTTAATTCGACATGACCGGAAGAAAGACTTAGTCTTCTTGGCAGTATGCTTCGGATCGTTGTCCTGCTGGAATACGAATTTCTCCTCAAGGCCCGTCTGGATCAGCGAAACTTCCAGATTTTCCCGCAGGATGTCGATGTAGGAATCTGCCGTCATTATCCCGTCGATTTTCACCAGGCTTCCCACTCCACCCCACGAAAAGCACCCCCAGACCATCACATTTCCTCCTCCATGCTTCACCGTGCCTTGTATGTGGCGCTCCTGAAGCTCCTCACCCGATCTACACCACACACGAACCCGTCGCTTCCGGTTGAACAGTTCGAATTTTGATTCGTCCGTCCAGAGAACCGTTTTCCAGAACTCTAGGGGCTTATCAGCATGCTCCTTAGCAAACTTAAGCCGTTTGACTTTGTTTGCCTTGCTGATAAATGGGCGCTTCCGAGCAACTTTGCTGTTCAACCCCTGTGCTACGAGACGGCGACGAACAGTTCGACTGGAAACTGTTAGCTGAAGAGCCTCCTGGATCTCGCGGACAGTTACCTTCGGGTTCTTCTTCACTTCACGCATGATCTTGGTGTCCGTTCTCGCATCCGTTTTGCGCATCCTGCCTCTGCCAGGGCGATCCACCACTGATCCGAACGATTTCATTTTCTGCAGAATTTTCCCGACCGCTGTTTTGCTGATATTGTACTTCCTAGCGACAGACCGGTGCGATTCACCGTTTTGCACATCACGAACAACCAATTTTCGGATACACACGGGAATTGCTTTCGAAATCACTACGTCCTCCATTTTTTTCAACTGATTCAAATGCGATCACGTGTACAAATGCACCAGTTCCACCCGTTTGCTTCAATACATGTCAAACTTTCAAAACAAAAACAATCGAGGGGTTTTCCGATGGAAACTTATCGAAAACATACCGATTTTTGAAGTGGGCACTTTTTTTTGTCACTGTTTTCTTTTTCAATCCAAATTGATTTTCTTTTACTTCAAGTAAAACTTTATATTTTCAGTATTCCATAGGTGTAACTTTAAAAGAATAATAAAGGTAAGACATCGAAACAGACTACGGTGTGTTTATTTGAATTTGAACCAAATAAATGAGAGAAATTTCAAAAATGATGGGGTGGGCACTTTATTTTGCCTATCAGTGTAGATACAAAGATTTAAAACAGTTTCTATCAACATTTTTCAAAATCGAAACGCTTTGACCACTATTCTAAGCCATTCGTATTCTTGCCACACTCGAAGTTAATAGAGATTAGTTGCGTTTAATGCACGCACACTAGTGGGTGTATCGCCGTGTAAAGTTATTTATTATGTTCCTCTGGCTAACCTAAAAAATGTATGAAATTAGATCTGTCAAAATGACGGAAAAGATGACGGACGGAAAAGACCAAGTAACCGATGACGAAACACGTCAGCTGATACATTGAAGCTGAACATATAAAAGAAGTTGTTGAATTGCCGGATGATTGCTCGAA